GGTTGAAGAATAGACCTTTAGAGGGGGAAGGAGATCTCACGTGTGTCTGGTTTCATGCTTTCTGACGACTTTGGCCCTGCAGGTTTAGGGAAAGACTCTTGTCTGCGCTCACAGCCGGTGGGAGATGGGACCTTAGTCACCGTATGTACTTTACACCAAAGAAGCAGCTTCGGGTGTCTTGTGGATCTCCTTGTAAATACAAAAAGAGCAAGGGGGTCGTGGGCATTTATCCAAAGAATAGTGATCCGAAGGGGCACATGCACCCCAATGTTTATAGCAGCAGTGTCCACAATCCCCGAAATAGGGAAAGTGCCCAGAGACAGCATAGAGATGGCGTGCGTGTGTGTGTGTGTGTGTGTGTACACACATAATGGAGTATTACTCAGCCGTCAAAAGAATGAGTCTTGCCATCTGCAACGACATGCATACAACTAGAGGGTATTATGCTCAGAGAAATGAGTCACTCAGAGAGGCAAATGCCACATGATTTTACTGATATGTGGAATTTAAGAAACAAAACAGGTGAATGTAGGGGAAGGGAAGGAAAAACAAAATAAGCTGAAAGCCGAGAGGGAGAGAAACCATATGAGACTCTTAATTGCAGGAGATAAGCTGAGGGTTCCTGGAGGTGAGAGATGGGGACAGGGTGACTGGACGATGGGCATTAAGGAGGCCGCTGGCCGGAATGAGCACTGGCTGTGATTCGCACCTGATGAATCGTGGGGTTCTACATCTCACACTCGTAATACCGTAGACGTTCCCTGATTTGGATTTAATGAAGATAAATTTTAAGATGTCAGCTGAAGGAAAACATAGAAGAAATCTTTGTATCCTTGGATAATTATGAACTTAAGAAAAGTGAACAATATCGTGCTGGTCTCATGTGGCCAAAGTGGCAAATGTGATTACATAAAAACTCAACACTTCTGCCCCCGAGAAGACACTGCGGAGACAGTGAAAATGATGCCAGAGATGAAGAGAGAGCACTTGAAGGCTCTCTGCTGAGGGGCTGTACCCGGTGTATAAAATGACCTTCGTCCTACAGATCAACAGTTGAACAAGCAGATCACTGCTAGAAATTCGAGAAAAACGGCTTGAAGGATGTTACCATAAGATGATACCCACATGGGCAGTAAGTCTACACAAAGAAGCTCAACATCATCGTTTTTGGTGGAAACGCCAGTCTAAGCCTTGATGCGGCACCCCAACGGCAATGGTTCCGCATTCACAAACGCCCAGTCACGGGTGCAAGACGTCGAAGCGTCCACCACCCTGTGGAGCGTGAATAGGTACGACGGGCCTGGCAACGTGTTCAGCAGCATCTGCTGCAGCCATGCGTCCGCACCCTAAGGACGCGGCATTATCAGCTCTAAAGAATCCTGCACGCTCGCCTCCGGATGAGGCCCAGAATATCCCTTGCCATGCTCCTTGGGGATAGACAAGAGCCAGAAACAGCCCTGACGCCTGTCTCGCATGTGCCGTGGCACAGTCAGCGGGGAAGCACACAGCTACCGAGCAGGCAGGGTACAACAGGGGCCACGGCAGGGGTGGGTTTCCCAAACACGAAGCGGGCAGGAGGCGCCAGACACCCAAACGACAATGCGGGAGTCCGTAATCACAATGTCCAACAACAACAGCAAAGTTCAAGGACGGACGAAGTTGACACACAGGCTTACACGCCGAGACTCTTCCTATCTTTGGCGTTGGCTGCTCGTCATGGCTGATGGAGGAAGAAAAGCAGGAATGAGGGTTTTCATCCAGTTCTGTTTCTGGACTTTGACGCTGCCTATATTGTTACGAACTCTTCCTGGAAACCCCCTCGGCGGCCGACTTAGGATTCTGCGCTCCACAGGGCGATACGGAACTTTCAAGAGTCCTTCATGTGGCAAAGAAAGAAAACAAGTGCCTGGAGCCGGTTGTTCATTCCTTCTCTGTAACCCCGGAGCCGTGAACGGCACATCAACTGCGGCAAGTCCCAGGGAAACAAGTCGCGGGTCAACACGGGTCCCCGGGGGCAGGCTCATGAGCGAGAGCCGAGGACTCGACTCAAGGACTCGCGAAGGAGGCCTCAGAGGGAGCCTGGCTCCAGCGGCAGTGGCTGGCCGAGGCTGTTGGGTGTGCCCGCCACTGAGGTGATCACAGTCACTGTGGGACCCTCGTTGGGACAGAGCGTCCAGTCTGTGCTGGGGAGCAGGTTGGCACTAAGCGTGCATCGCCAGTTTCTGTGTTGGGCCAAGAGCTGGGAACATCTGGCCGAGGGGCCGCTCCAACTGCAGAAAATCAGGTGAGGCCACACTTCCGGGGCGCTCCACGCCAGGGGCTGTGTGATCCTGTGGGACACGAGCCACGGTATTTCTAGAACCCTGGGAGTCTTAGTGCAAGTAACGAGCCGGGCACGTCACGCGTGCGGCTCGTGCCAAGGTGCCCAGCGACTATCGGGGGAGAGCCCGAGGCAGAGGTGAGGTGGCAGTGCGGACAGAAAAACCTTTCCAGGAGAAGCTGTTCAAGGAGGAAACAGAACCTCTAGAGGCCTCACTTGGACATTCTTTACCAGCAAAGAATTCTAGGCAACGGAGAAGCTTTTGCGGATGTAGAAGGTGGGCTCGGCGCTAGTTAGACTGGGTGAGGTGGGCGTTGATACTCGCAAGCAGAAAGCCTGAAATCAATGATTTTCATGTCTGTATCTCTAGGTGTGCATGAACGGGAACTCCTTGTTTACAAGAACTGTACGAGCAACTGCACGTTCGTGTATCCATCCGAAGTACCCCCTGAAGCCCCGAGAGTCTTGAGGACTAATAGTTTCTATTTTGTTCGTTGTTGTAACACTATTAATTGCAATGACGGAGGACCTAGTACTCTGGAGAAGGATATCATCCTGGAGGATACAATTGAGGAGACTCTGTCAGGGACTGGGCGCTTGGGGGAGTCAGCATTTTTGCTGGGTGCTGCCTCCATCCTTGTTAGCAACGCACTGACGTGAGAAGCCCTCGTGGAGGGTCTGCCCCCCCCCCCATTCCTCAGAGCAAGTTCACGATCCATCCCTCCCTCGTGAGCCAGGGTCCCTGACCCACATGGCTTCCAGGTGGCGGGTTACCCCTTTGCAGCCTAGTTGGAGAGAGAAATAAAGAGCATCGTTGTTTGGACTCTGCTGCCCTGGAGGTTTCTTTGTGGCTTTAGCGTTCGATCCGTTTGTTCCTCTTCAGTCATCATCTCACAAGTAGACCAAAGCCTCTGCCACTCCGGCACACGGGGATCGAGGGTTCGAGTGAAAAGCAGAACGGTTAGTGCGGACAGCGCACGTGTCAGCTGGCAGCGCCGTCCCAGCTGTGCTCAGACCACAGGGAGCTGAGGCCCCCTGAGACCCCATGCTTCCCTCTCAGGGCGGACGGTGGTGGCAGGAGGGCTCTTGGCCGTAAGGTAGCACGCGGCCCACAGTGCCTGACGTTAGAGACTGTGCCGGTGCCTCCGCGCGGGTCAGTGAGCCAAGACCTGCATGAAGCGCCGTCCTCCGTCACAATGGCACCTGTCGTCACGCCGGCGAGAGAAGGTCTCCTCAGATGCTGATGTCAGAGAGGGGTAAGGGGCTCAGAGCCAGCTGCTGAGCGCCTTGAAACGGCAGGGAGACTTCTGGGCGGTGCTGTCATCCTCATTGTGCCCGGGGTCTGTGTCAGGAAAGCGACGTGAAGGGAGCACAAGAGCTATGCCTTCTTTGGCCTCGAGCTCTCCTTCTCTAAACGGGATTTGAAATTAGGTAAGCTTCACATAACAGAAAATTCATCATTTCAAAGAGTGTAACTCAGTGTTTTTTACCATATTCACCATACTGTGCAGCCATCCCCACCACCTAATTCCAGAACATTTGGCAACCCAAAGGGACACCCTGCTTCAACAAACAGCCAGTCACTCGGACCTCTCCTGTGAGACCGGCAAATATTTCTGCACGAGAGTGGAAGAGTGTTTGCAAACAGAGTGAGACGTCATGTCCGCAGCGGCGACTGTGCCACGGTTGTCAGCTGCGTGCTCTCCAAGGGCACCACGACAGCCTACGGCACCACCCCTCCCTCCCTCTCCTGCCACGGAGCTCAGATTAGGACCACTCACGACCAGTCATGAGACCGATCCAGGTTCAGTCTTTCTCTCCTAGAAAGTGTAATCTCAAACATGTGAGAATGAAAACCCATGCCTGCGCTGGCAGAAAGGACAGGACAGCTTTAAAATACGGAAATGAGGACAACGTCGGGCAAGGGAGAGGCCAGCCCAGCAGACCCCGGGGTTGGGTGGGTCCGGTCTAAGGGGGAAAGGATGAAAGCGTAGGACCCAGGCAGGATCAAAGCTGCGATTGGAACCCCACAGAAGGGGAGGACTTTTTTTAAAGAAGATTTTATTTATTTATTTGAGACACAGAGAGCAAGAGAGAGCAGGAGCTGGGGCAGAGGCAGAGGGAGAGGAGACGCAGACTCCCCGCTGAACGCGGAGTGGATGCCCGAGACTCAGGATCCTGCCCTGAGCTGAGGTCAAGAGTTGGACACTCAACTGAAGAGCCACCCAGGGACCCCTGCCGCTGATCTCCAGGGGCTTTTAGATTCTTCTTTTCACTGTGAATGTTCTGCTTGAACTACAGTAAAATCTACGTGGTGCTATGTGGTTTGTAAGGGTGTGCAGTAGAGGAAGGTATTCGCAAGAAGGCGTGAGCCCGTGGGCAGTCTACCGCAGCGGAATGACCCGATGGTTCACACATGGTGAACATGGTTGTTGTAAACACTTGTGTACAAACCTCGTTTTCTTTTCTGGTTTCCTGTTGGCTCGCGTTCCAGTGGACAGATACACAAAAGTCAGCAAATGCTTTTTAAAAAAGGTTTAATTCAATTAGCTAACATAAACTATAGCACTAGTTTTTGATTTTTATTTTTTTAGAAAGTTATTTATTTGAGAGAGAGTGAGAGAGAACATGAGCGGGCTGAGAGGCAGAGTGGGAAGCAGACTCCCCACTGAGCAGGGAGCCTGACGTGGGGCTTGATCCGCAGAACCTGAGGATCATGACCAGAGCTGAATGCAGATGCCCAACCCACTGAGCCACCCAGGCGCCCCACATCATTTGTTTTGTAGTGTTCAAGGATTGTAGCGTTCAAGGATTGCTAGTTGTGTGTAATACCTAGTGCTCATCAGATCGCATGTCCTCCTTTTTTTCTTTAAGATTTTATTCATTTGCCAGAGAGAGAGAGCAAGTGAGCACAAGAGGGGAAGCAGGAGAGGGAGAGGCAGACTCCCCATTGAGCAGGGAACCCGATGCAGGGCTTGATCCCAGGACCCTGGCATCGTGACCCGAGCTGAAGGCAGACACCTAACCGTCGGAGCCACCCCGGCACCCCAGGACGGGACTTTGAAAGACCGCGCCGACACTGAAGACGTAGGGCGGAAATGGTCTGTGTGCAGTATCGCGACAAGAGAAGGAAGCTGATGTCCACAAGGCGGGAGGAACACCTGCTCCCGCCCGACAACCAGGAGAAACGCCCTCATGCTGGCTTAGGGTTCTTGTCACTCACGTCCTCGGGGAACCCTCAGGCTGAGGGATGAACACAGGACGTGGCCCTGGGCAGGGGACCATGCTTGGGTGACTGGAAGAAGCCAGAGAAACGTCCAGGGGCAGAGCGGCCTCAGCCCAGGCCCCCTCTGGCCAAAAAACAGGTGTCCCGCTTGGGGACGTCCACGATGTGAAGGTCAAGGCAGTCTGTGCATGGGAAGTCCTGTCGAGATAGGAATGAGGATCATCAAGCTGGGTCTCTCCAGATGGCCTGGACCATTTTCAGAAAGAGCCCAGGGACATCCACCGCCAAAGGACTCAGGGAATTCCAAGCGGGACTCAACGGGAAGGGACTCCCACAAGCGATCGCACAGTGAGACATCGGGAGCCGCGCAAAACGAGAGATGACCTTGACCCCGAGACCCGTTACTGGGAGGTTGTTTCCAAGATGTGTGTGGTCACTGCCAAGCCAAGGTCCTCCGCTGGGGGGAAGGGGTGCGGGGAGGGCCCGACAGGCGGGGTTCGCAGGGCGCCTCTGCCCGGGTGAGCTGCGAGGCTGTGCAGCAGGAGGGACCCTCTGAGCCTCAGTTTCCCGGCCTGGCCCGCACGCGTGAGCTCCGCACTCCCCTGCCAGGGCTGCAGTGACCATGAGGTGAATACGTGTGCTGCCCGCAACAGAGGATCCCCAGGCGGAGCCTCTTCCATTCCAGGCCCGCCCTCCCTCCCGCCATCCCACAGAGCAGGGTCGCAAACAAGGAAGCGACTTTGGAGCCGCGGGGGAAGCCAGAGCCGCTGCCTGAGCGCCTGCTGTAGCAGAGAGCTGGGCCCCTTCCAGACGCCAACCTTGCTGTGTCCTGCCCGGGGCATGGGGGGTGGGAATTCTCCAACAGAATGCCCCCGGGAAGCTCTCGAAGCTCAGAGGGTGAAGGGCTGGGCGCGATGGAAGGGCCAGGCCCGCTTGTGCCTGTGCCCGCAGGGTCCGGGAGCCGCTCTCTTCTCCGTGGCTCCACGACCCCTTAGCCGTGCCTGGTGGGAGCGGGAGAAGCCCACGCCCCCCACAGCGACCCTTCTCCATGGCCAATGGGGCCCGGAAGGTGCAAATCCCTTCCCTCCTTCAGGGAATCTGGGCAGGACCAGATGCCCGAGGGGCCCCTCAGTGCAGGCAGGGCGGGCTTTGCAAGGGAGCCACCCCTCCTCCTCGATGTCCTACCGGGAACTCAGTGCCTGGTTAATGGTAGGTCAGTAATTATTTACCAGACAGGGGTCTGTCTAGTTTTTCTCAACAGTTAATAACTAATATAAAAATGAGCTTTAAAAAAATTGGAGAGCAAGGTCCTGAGACGTCACAACTGAAACCTGGTGGCAGAGGAGACCAGCTTTTGGATGGCCAGTGCTGACATATGGCAGACCACGTTAGACCAGGGGAAATAGTGGGGTGCAGGAAGAAAGTAGTTGAGGTGTATTTGTATCCGTTTTTACACAAATGTATGTATCGACCCTGGAAAGAGAAAGAGAGAGAAGGAGGGGTCCCTGCAGGGGAGGGGCAGAGGGAGAAAG